CCAAGATCTCAAGAAATTTTATCTCTCACAAATGCAGCAGTGATGGGATTATGATCTGAACCATTTTCCAGCTGATTAACCTAGGGCAAGTGACATGGCTTCGTGGAGCCTCCGTTTCTTCATCTGTGAAATGGGAGGATATAGCTGACTCTGCAGGCTTGGAGGGTCTCAGAGATCAGGCACATGATGGGATCAGCCCCAGTGCCTGCCACATAGTAGATACTTAACAAATGGCAGTGGTTTTTACAAATGGCCGCAGGTGCCAACCTTCCCCAGGCTTTGTGTCACTTCCATTCTTTTGAAAGACATTTAGTGTGTACCTACTGAGTGCTGGCTCTGTATCGGGACTAGTATGACAAACAAGGTATGCTTCCTGACATCATGGCGCTTGTAGTTAGGGCTGTGAAGGGATCTTAGTCATAATCCTACTGCAGCTGCATTTATGAGAGATAAAATTTCTTAGATCTTGGCTCTCTGGGTGACTGGTGTACTGTTTGTGCAGTGTTGACCCATCGAGGTGTTGTTTTTGTTTTTGTATTTTTTTAGGTTAGGTCTGTGAAGGAAGAGATATGGGTACGTGAGAGAGAGTCTCTCTCTCTCTCTCTTTCTGTGTGTGTGTGTGTGTGTGTGTGTGTGTGTGTGTGTGTGTGTGTGTGTGTATAAAACCTAAGGGAATCAGGGAGGGGCCTCTTTGAGGTGGTAACATTTAAGCCAAAGCCAGAAAGGAGGGACGCGGCTATGCAGACAGTTGGAGGAAGAGCATTCCAAGTAGAAGGAAAAACATATGCAAAGTCTCTGAGGAAGAACTGAGTTAAGTATTTGAAGAATTGAGAGAAACCCATCCCTTGTGTGTGGCTTTGGACCCTGGGCAACGGGGACGGGCACAAAATAAAGGTTAGGAAGAGAGCAGTGACCAGGTTACTCAGGAAGCTCCCCACTTGGGCTGACTGCTGTCTCGCACCTTTAAGACCCTCTCTTCCTGGGGGAGGCTTCACAGGTGTGCCCTGTTGTTGGCACTGTGCCCAGGGACCTTTGAGTTAAGAAAGTGCCAGTGATTGGGGGCTGATGAATGCTGGGCATCGGCTCTGGTCTGGGGAGCTAACTCTCCCACCAGCTGCACCATTGCTCTTCACCTTACAGTCTCCAGAGCCAGACTGTTTGGCTGCAGCCGGGCACTTGAACCTTTCTTCGCGTAGCCTCTTCATCTGCGAAAAGGGCATGATAGCATCCTGTGAGTGTGAGCAAAGGGCTTGGTACAGTAATGAAGCTTTGGTTAGTCTGAGCAAAGGGCGAGGTGCAGACACAGCACACTCACTCCTGGAGCTGTTACTGTTATTAGCCGCTTTGTGGAAATTCCTGTTTACAGGAGCGTCTGCACAGCAGAGAGGGCAAGAGCATGACTCGGGAGCCAGACTCTGGCTTCGCCTTCTGCCTCCTGTTGGTCAGCTTATTCGCCTCTGTGTGCCTCAGTCTCCTCATCCACAAAATGGGGATATTCATTATCGCGCCCAGGGTCGTTGTGAGAGTTGAATGAGTTAATTTATATAACGTGCAAAGAACAGTGCCTGGCGCAGAGCAAGTGCAATTGGAGAATTTGCTGCGGTGGCTTTTACTATTATTCTGTTGTTCAAAGTGACAAGACTGAGCATAAGGCCCCCTTCGTCCCAGGCGTCTCTAGGGGTTGTTTGAAGTATGCCAGGGGAAGGGACTGATTGAGGCTGATTTCCTGCATCCGTGCCCTGGAATTCCGCATTGCCAGCCCCAGGGAGGTGGGAGTGGGGGTGGGGTGGGAGATCCATGGCAGGGCTGGCACCCCCCAGGGTCAGTTTCCTTGCAGGGTCACCCCTCCCGGATGCCAGGACTCTGGGACCACAGGGCAGGGGCCACAGAGCGGCAGGGGGCCCTGGCTCTCCCTGGCACATTCCGGGCTCCTGAGAGGGTGGCCGGGGGCCAGGGTGCCGGAGGGAAGGAGAGAGCCTTTTAAGGAAACATTTCTCTGCTGAAAAAAAGAGAGAGGCAAGAAACACTGACACACACACAACAACGTTAGTGGGCCGGCCAGCCGGCCTGGAATGTGCAGCTGTGGGCGGAGGGTGGAGGAGGCCGTGGGGGGCGCCAGGCCCTCCGACTGGGGCTCGACAGCTCCCCCAAAGATCCAGATTCTCAGTGAGTGCCTCTGTCTTGGAAGGACAGGGAAGGGATCTCCTTTCCGCTGCCTTAGGGCAGGTCTGGGAGAGAGGCCTCCCATTTGTCTCAGAGAACACTTGTTCACGCTGCCCTGGCCTCACAATGTAACCCCGATCCTCTCCCTCACTTCCCCAGCCTCTAGCCTCTGAATGGGGACTTGAAACCCACCTCCTTTAACTGAGGGCCGCCGATGGGGTCCAGGGTCCGGGAGGATGTGGCAACAGCAGGCAGCAGCCTCTCCTGTTGCACTTGGCCTTCCATCCGGGCTCCTTGTCCAGCCCCAGCTTCATTCAGCTCAGAAGGAAGGAAGGTAGCAACGGTGCGGCCCTGTGCATTGTATCCGTTCCCACCAGGAGCGGAGGGACCCGTGGTGACGGAGTGAGTTGGGAGAGAGCCCTCTGGGGTCCTGGCCCATGACCTGGAAACTCTACAGTCCCCAGAGTGGGGTTTAGGGCTGTGCTTGGCAGGGCCAGCAGTGTCCCCTGTGGCTGAGACCTGGTCTGGTGGGCAGGGCAGGCAGGGAGCTCTGCAGACCGCAACCAGCTCTGGGGACCTTCCCTTCCAGCCTGTGCCCCAGCATGCTCCACCCCACCCGTGGGCTGTGTCCTTCCAGAGGCCTCTTCTAAAACTGGCTCATAACACGTGTGTGTCAAGAGCCCTGAACTTTTGGGAGCAGTTCTGTTCTCCTGTTTCCTCATTTTCCTGAAAGCGGGGCCACAAATGATAAGGTCCCTTTCGCAACTGTCTCATCTCGGGAATCCGACTGCCGGGGTTCAAATCCCAGCCACTTATCAGCTGTGTGACATTGGACATGTTGTTTAACTACTCTGTGCTCCTTGCATCTCAACTGGGGGTCAAAACAGTAGTACCTCCTTACTGTTTCTGAAAGGATTCAATGAATTAACCATGGGTAAAGCATTTGTAAGAATGCCTGTCATATAGTACACATTCAGGAAGCCTTGGATATTGGGTTTTTGGGTTTTGGGGGCCTCATATGATTCTCCCAACAGTCCTGGAATATTGTTGGGTACAGGGCGACAAATGCTAAGACTCCCCTCAGGCCTCTGCAGGAGAGTGAGCTGGGCAGGGAGCCTGTAGCATGACTGGGTCAAGAGCCCAGGGATGCTAGCTCCCACCACCCCTGCTCCTTCCAGAGTTTGGGGCATGTTGTCACCCAGGTGCTGACCTCGTCTGGGCTGGTGTTCCAAGCCTGGGGAATTCTAGGGCCAGTGAGATGACAGCAGGGGGCCAGATGGAGGGAGAGCCCAGCTAGGGTGGCCTCTGTGCCCAGCCACCATCACCACTCCACCGGGGTGGCAGGCAGGAGCGGCTGCCCACTGTCTGGGGGTGGCAGCTACCCCCTCTTTGGCCATCCACCCTCATGCCTGAGGGAGAGCCTCCCCCTCTGTGCCTTCCGTGGGCCCCTTGCCTGGTGTTCGGGTCGGGAATTGGAGCCAAGGTTGAGCTCCAAGAAAAACGTGTCCTGGCTAGAAAAAAGGAGCACACTGAGTCTCTGATAAATGCCCCTGCTAATTGTCAGGGTAATGGTTTGGCTGCCAGACCTGGCCAGGGGAATGTTTTCTCAAGGAAGAGAGCTATGGAGCCCTCTCTCCCTCCCTCTCTCCCTCCTTCTCTGCTTCTCTCCCTCCCTCCCTTCCTCCAGAGGCCCAAGTTGCCATCTCTGTCTCTGGATCAGAGAGAAAGATGAGGATGATGAAACTAATGAGATAGTAGCTCGTCCAAAGAGGGTGCTTTGCCCCTCCAAGCCATTCCTATTAGTCAGCAACCTGCTGGCTTTCTGTGGAAGGGCTGGCTGGTGGTGCCCTCCACCAACGTGTTTCCTGCACACTCCAGGAAACTTGGCCAAGCCAGTAGGAGCCTTCTGCAGCTCTGACCTTTGGGCGAGATGCCTTGGCATCTCGGAGGAGAAGGAGGTGACTTTCTCTTTTCGAGAGGTCTCTTTTTTTTTTTTT